CGATAAACCCATTTCATTGAAATTCTTAACATGGCTGTCGTCACGTCGCGTATTTGACAGCTGCCCCTTTCGCATTGTGAGGCATTAAATCTACACAGCCTGAATGTAAGCTCCAAGTATTTATGAGAATTTGTGCTGCCTTTACACATCGCATTCCTCGTAGTGTTTATGTTGTAATGCAGTGCGGTGAACGACAGCTGAAGGACGCATTATCGACCATATAAAGACAGTTAAGAGAAAGAGAAACCAAATAAAAAATAACATAAATAAATTATGGTTGAGTCAAAAAAAAGAGGAAATTCTCGACTCATCCAGCACCGTGTGGCATGCGGCATGCGACATGCGACACTGCGGCCATTTCACGGCAAACGCTAATTTTAGAATTTTTATGCGCCTGCTGCTTGCATGAATACTTTTCAAAAACTTATTTTATTAACATTTGTGTGCTGCCGTTAAACTATCAGGCGACATTGGCGTGAAGGCAGTTGTTAGCCGTCAGCAGCCAACAGCAGCTTGCCGCTGCACTATTTCCAAAGCTTCAGCCATACGCCTTCATCATCGTGCCATCCATGGTTAAGGTCATTGTTAGCCAACTAGCGCACTTGCAATTCAAATGCATTTATTTTATTATAGATTTTTTTTATTAGATTGTAATGCATTTATGAAATAATATACATACATACATATGTACATACGAATATACCTCGCCATGCAGCTTCTTCGGCAGATTGCACTGCGCATTGCAACGTTTAGCCGGGTTTTCGGCGCTCATTGTATGTACATAAAAGTATTTACTTGCTAAGTGTATGTGTGCACTCTTACATCAACCTTGAGTCAGGTTTTTCCACTTTCGTTGTTTGACAACAAAGTCCACGCCATTCGAGGCGGCAATGACTCCAAACATTTCATCTGCTAATTTTTACATTTTCTTCTTCGTCTCTTTTTTCGTTTGTCTTTTCTTTTCAGCACCTGCTGTGTTTCACGCTTTTGTGTTGATTTTCTATTGAATGGCTGCAATCAATTGCAACTTTCTAATATTTTGTGGCCTCATATAAAATATGTACATGCAGCGAGGCTTTATCTCTCGAATTACAATTAAATATTATTTTTATTAATCTCTGGCGGAAAATTTTTAGTTTTTTTTACATTCGCTTCATGCTGAAGAATGTAGAGCATGCAAAAGCGATAGTATTTATATATGTATGTACATTAGGGTAGTCATGAAAACATCTACATCATGGGGCACCGCTTGATTTTGTTCTACCTACAAAATAAAGACATCGACGACAATTACAAAATTTGAAAAAAAAAATTTATTTAGGGGTCGCTGCCAGGTTTTGAAAATTTTTAAATCACGAAAATTCGAGAAAATCTTGATTGTGATCAGCTATAACTCAGAACATTTATGAGTTTATATGAAAAGGTTTCAAAAATATATGAAGTTTATTAGATGTGAAGTCAGAATTTTGTCGAATTTTTGTGACAAAAAAATTTAAATTTTTCAAACCCCAAATTTTTTTTTTAATGTTGAAGTTTTCGTGGATGTTTTTATATTATTATTAGAACAAAGTAAAGCAGTGCAACATACAAACTTTATATTTTTAAGAATTTTTGGGCCACCCTAATGTATGTGCATACATATGTATGTGTATGTATATGGCATTAGGGCATGTCGGTTTGGATTACATTGAAGTATTTTGCAACATATCCCCTATGTATCTATTAGGGTGTTCGATTATTTTCGAAACCCAGTTTTCGAGTTATTCGGCATTTGAAAAACTAGTTCCCAATTTTCAAATAAACAAATCGATCGGATTTCAAATAAGATTTCTGTGGAGTTTTTTCGACTTAAAAAAAATTTAATTTTTCAAACCCCTAACATTTTTTTAAAATGTTGAACTTTTCGTGGATGTCTTTATTCAGTACGTAGAACAAAATAAAAGAGTGCATACATATTTTATAATTTTATATTTTTAGGGCCATCCTAATGAATATGCATATATATGTTTATGGCATTAGAACATGTCGGTTTGGATTACATTGAAGTATTTTGCGACATATGTACACCATACAACCGATGTATCTAAATACTAGGGTGTTCGATTATTCGCCTATTTTATTCGAGTTACTTGAAAAATCAAGAATTCAAAAAACGTTTCCTGATTTTCAAATGAACAAAAAACCGTATAAGTCGGTTTTATTTTAAACATATTTATTTTTGGCAAAACTCACTGTTACCCAGAAATCATGATAAAAATCAAAAAGGGAAAATAAGTTCGAAGAAAAGAAAAAAATGAGTACAAAAGTCACTCTTACTTGGATTCACAGATTTTAACAAGATGAAGTCGTTAAAACAACAATTCGTCGTTTAAAGTACAAAAGCGCGTATCGTCATTCTGCAAAACCGCGTAACTGACATTGACTGCCAACACAAACACTTGGCTTCATCCTTATCCATTCGTCTTGAAATATACTAGCCAGAAATGCGATTGCTCTATAAGATTGTCGAGCATATTGAACCGACTGTCTTGGGAATAAGAACACGCAATCTGCTGAACCAGACCGACTATAAATTTGTATAAGATGCCCGGAGACACTAACCACCTCCTTATATGCCCTCTCACATCAGCGCATCTAACAAACCTTTCCTTAAGGTCCAAACCCGTCGAATCTAGTATTTTCTTGAGCTTGCTTTCAGATGAGAATGAAGACAACATACATAGTGCGATTCACTAATTTAATAAGCTGTTACAACAAAAAAAAACGTGAGAGATTTTCGATCTGTTTTCCTTTGACTTTTAAGCAATTTTCTGCAGTGGAAAATTTTCCAGTAAATATTCACATATAAAATTGTTCTGCATCCATTTTCAATAAAACAAGTATTTATGTTGTTTAGATACGGGTACTTATATAAAGAAATAAGGTGAAAACCCGGTTTACTCGATTGTAACAATCCGGTTCACTCGGTATTCGAAAAATCAAGATTTCAAAATAAACCGAATAAAAATATTCAAAATAACCTGATTTGGAAAACACGAGTCAATCACCCCAGTATCTAAGTATTTGCTTCAAGTTGTCGGAAGAAGTAAAAATTCTATTCCTAACGGTCAAGTTCTTCGAAAATGTTTGTGATTTGTGTATGCTGGTAATATTAAGACGCGCTTAAGATCTCGTAACAGCAAGAAACTAAAAGCAAAAATATTCGCCAATTACCTCAGTCCTTTGCGAAACTTCTTCGGCCACCTGTGGGTGCCGATTCCGAAGAATATTCTTACCTGCATACATATTCGTCTTGTATATAAACTCGTTTTACTCGAATGCCGCTGAGAGGTATATTCCAATTTGGACGTAGCTAAAATTTTGTCTAAACGTCACTCGATAAAGCCGTATTAACCACTAAAAAGCGTTACAAGTTTTTGTCTCCATATCTTAAATATAACTTGTACGTCTGTTATCAGATTCCTGTCTTCATCTCTGCAGAAACCATCAAAGGTTTTGCAATAATTTACTTGCTGCCTTCGTTTCTAAATTTTCTTGCCGCATCGCTGCCTGTCGGGCTTCTTGCTCCGTGTATATCTCTACCGCAGCTATGCGCAAAATTAAGTCGGTTCCGCAGAGTAGAGAGTCGGTTGTCAAACCGGCTAATCGTTGAAATCGGTCATTTTTTATTTGAATGAATTTTGGTCAAAAATTTTCTTTTATCATATAACAAAGTTCTGCGAAAGGAAAAACATTTTTTTTCGAAAGTATGGAAAGTTCTAAATTTTCAGGATTTTACAAGTTTATTTTTTTGAATATCTCAAAAAATATTACAGCTACAAAAATTAGATATAAAGAAAAAGCATAAATAAAAAATTACAGAATTTCGAAAAAAAAAATCAGAAAAACAAAAACTTACAAAAATATTTGGCTCAGAATTTAAATACAACACCTCCGCCTGATCTTAAGAGGTCCTGAAGTTTTCAAACATTTTTTTTAAAGGTATACATTTGTGTACTTAGAATTTTTTTTCCGAACTCTAAATAAAGTTATGCTAGTTCCACAATTTTTATTTATTTAACTTTAGAGTTTGAAAAAAAAAATTTCTCGAAGCTCAAAAATTTATGTGTCGTAATAAAACACAATTATATAGTCCCAAATATCATCTTTAAAACGAGACCAGAACGGTTTTTGTGACTAAAATAGTTTTGAGATACTCAAAAAATAGTTGTAATAATATCTATATGTATCAAATTAACTCGCCAGCCCACGTTTTGATCGAACCGACACACTGTATACCGTCATTTGATATTCATGTTTTACAAACGCCATCCGCAGTGGTGCCGCTTCAATACACTTGTTCGGTTACACTCTATATAAAATAAGTAGCTGTAAAATATTTATTTGCCTTTTGAAAAGTTTCAATTTTCATTATCCAAAACATAAAAGCATTCACATCCAACAATACGCGATTAAATGTGGCGGATATAATGCATCGAAAATGGGAAAATATTGCACAAACAAGAGATGTACAAACAAAAATCCAACCAACCAAATGTGAAATAGTGTGAAAGGCCAAATGAAAAAAAAAAATAAATAAAACGAATCATGAAGCGAAAAATCATACACGGAAACCTTACAAGTGAATCAGGTTGTATACAGCACGATTATATGGAATCAAGCCATCATATGCACGAGTAAGAGCATATTAGCCATGCGCTTGTGTTTTTTTGTTTTCACAACAAAAAAAAATCTTTTTTTTTATATAACTACGCTTACACTTAATAGTGCAAAAGAAAATTACATGTTGCATTTTGGCAGCATTGGGGGGAAAAAATCTCAAAAATGCTGGTGTTTCCGGTAACCATTTCAAGTCAGCGCCAAGCTAGGCTTCATTTCATTGCTACCTTAACTTTAATTGTGCAACATAGCCGGTTTGATAAAATACTCAAGTATGTACTTACCGAGTTGCTCGTTTCGTACCAGCAGCTGCCTGTTCCCACGCTGACCACTCCGATTGCCGCATACCACAGATAAATATGTACATATGTATGTGTAAACTACTTACTTAAACAATGCTCTCAAGTTCGAACTACCCTGTAGGGAAACCGCGGACTAGGGAATCAAATTTCTAGTTCCGTACTAGGTCTTCATCGCCAAAAACGAACTAGTCCGATAGGAACTAGATCCCCACCAGTCCAAAATCGGCGAAAAGTGGTACTTTTAAGAAACTAATTTTTTCAGTTTTTTCACTAGAAATCTATATCTAAAGTGACGAATTTAGAAATGGTTCGGAACTATAGAAAAAGGGATGCAGAACGAACTAGATCCTATTTGTCGAATTTAGAACTATTTCGGAACTATCGAATAAGGGAAGCAGCGGTGGGCTTGTTTACTCTACATAGATATGTGCTCGGCGGCTTTTTCGTTCAAATACGCTTCTCTTCTGTGCTTCGCAGATGCTATTTCATAGTTTGGTAATACAAAACAAAGCTTTGTGTTAACATATTAACATCTTGGGGCCTACTGGAATCTAACCAATAACAGCGAGTACCTCTGCAAAGTCAGCTACAGCCAAAGGTATGTAAACGTACATTTCTTACAATCATTCAAACAAATTTAATTTCAAATTTGAAAAAAAATTACTTTGAAAATAATGTAAAATCACACAAGGAAGAACCGAAAAGATTGAAAAATCATGATACTTTTTTCTTTCATCTGTCGATTTTAGAACTGGTTCGGAACTATAGAATTTAGGACTAGTTCGGAACTATCGAAAAAGGGATGCAGTGGGGGGCAATTGACACTTCCTAGGACATCGCCATGTTAAATTCGCCAGTTGCTTGCATGCAAAAGAGATTTATCGCGAACCAGTACTGGGTCTAAATGTACTAGAAGCGCCCCAGTTCAGAACTAGAGATTTTCCCCACAGGGTAACTATGCGCCATGACGCCATATAAACAATCGTGTAAAGATTTGCTATAACTACAAAGCGATATAACCGAGTAAATATTTACGCTCACATGCGTGAAAATAATCCGAGGCTTATATTTAATTTTGTTGTTACAGAAAGCTCAAGAACAAGACTACCCAGTAGGGAAATCAACTAACAGGACAATTCTGGCTAAGATAGTAAAAAGTCTTTCGTAAGAGAAATGAAAAACAGATGGCCAGATAGATCGAAAGACTTTTATTTATCTAGTCTTAGAAAAAAGCTCTCTCATTCACCATTCGTGGTGAAAAGCCATTTTGAGAGAAAACACTTGTATATCATTTATGTAGCTCTCGTCGCTCCACCAGTCGCAATGGCCGAGTGAGCAAAGCACAGGCGTGCTATTCGAAAGATCTGAGTTCTAGTCTCAGTCAGTGGAGTTTCTTATTCTTTTTTATAGTTAACACTTTTTTCTTTTTTTTATTGCTAGAATTTATTGTTTTAAAAAACAATATATATATTTACATAACTTTTATTTCATTTTATTTTTAGAAAGTTATTTTATGTATGTTCCAAATACAAATAGGCAAAATAAAATAGCGAAATAGGAAAAGGCACTAGAAATAGCAAAAAAGGCACTTAAAAAAGATAAAAACTGAAATTTAACACGGGTTTACAGGAAAAGTGTTCAACGTACGCCACTACATATCCAATTCCTATAAAAATTTCTCACTGAGTCCGAAAATCGACTTAATTTTATATTCTATGGATAAATTTTAGAGATATTTTCAGATGCACATGTTGTATGAGTAGCATTCTTTCCTGCTCATTTTTCATACAAAAACTATTTGCGCATTTTCATATGACCGCATATTACTTCTTTATTTATCAATCGATTTTCTTCATTATAAACTTAATTTTTTTGTAACAGAACAGGCTTTAACACAGCCTTAAATGTACTAAACGTCCGCTCAACGTGAGTTGACTTTTTAAAGGAACAATAGGCATTAAAAGGTAAATATCTTAAAAACGGCGAAAAAACGCAACATCAAATGTGTATATATGGAATTAGGGAAAGCTAAATCGTGGAAATTCTTAATCGAATATACTCTATCTCTATATCTATAGATAGAGATTTAGCTTTCCCTGATTCCATATATACACATTTCGTGTTGCCTTTTCCGCCTTTTTTAAGATAATTGCTTTTTTTGCCTACTGTACCTTTAAAAAGTGATTATGGCGATTAAAAAGACCTTATTCCTGACAATATAAAAGGTGCAAACGTTCCATATTTAAATTGGGCGCTACTTGTAACAACTCACGTTGAGTTGAAATTTTGATGAAAATTTGGTGAATTTTCCTAAATTTTGTACAAAGTTTGAAACTGTGATTTACACGGTTGTGGTTAAAGATTAGACGAGTTTTTTATATAAAAATAACAAAAAAAATTTAGCTGGAAAAATGTTACGAATGTTAAAAAAAAAAAACAATACGTGGTCATTTGTTTGAGTCACTGTACATATATATGCAGTTTTTTTTTTAACACGGACGCTTTTTAGGTTTTTTTTTTGTTTTATTTAAGTCTATATTTATCATTTTCAGAACAGATTTGCTGCTGAACTGAATATATACTCAAATTTTTTCTCAAAGGAGTAATTAAGGAGTGCAAAATTTTTATGAAAATTTCCGTAAAGTTTGGAATTCCGATCTTTTGAGCTTTTATTGTAGTATTAGCCATAATTTTAAATAAAGTTATTTCCAAGAGGTTTCCCTGAGGAGCCCTTTAGTCGGCGGAGAAAAAGAGGAAGCTCATTGCATTCTTTGGTCTTTGCTCTCTCAAGTTAGAAATGAGGGCGTGTTAAGCCCCATTATTTCTTTGTACCAGTCTCCAATTCAAATTTCTTTAAAATTTTATAGGTTTTATGAGTTAAATCGTATATCAATATGCATCAATTGAGGAAAAATCGAACGTCGATTCTCGAAACTTTTGAATCGATTCACGGATCGAATCGAAACTAAAAAATCAACAAAAAAGAAACGAAACGAAAGGGCTCGATTAATCAATCTTCGATTTAAAACGGCATTTCTACTCGCCAACGTTCATTGCTGCTAACTTACTTTACTCTTGAATTCACATACAAATTTTTCGTTAAGCTAGCAGGGATGAACTCAAGCGAGCCGAAATCAGCTAAGATTAGTAGAATTGTTTCGCTTATTTTCCAAATTCCTACTCTCTGATCGCTAATATACAAGTTGATTACTGGAGTAATCGCATTTCTTGCAGGGTATACAAATGTTTATGTATGTTTCTCATTCATTGCATTGAATTGCAATCACAAAGTCGTTTCTCAGTTGACTATTGAGTCTCTGCATAAGGGTTTATTATTTTTGCATTGGAAGGGGGCACATCAACTAAGCAACGAAGCACCATTTGTATATAGTAATTATCTACCTCCACAATTTACCTGTTTTTTTTTTTTTGTATTTTCTTTGAACACAGAGGTATTCAAACGCACATGCGTTTGACGTCTTTGGATGCCTATGCACATTTTAGCATATGTACATAATTGCAATCATACTTACATACATACATACATACATATGTATGCATCTATCAACAGCAATTGCAAAAAAAGTGAAAAAAAAGTCGTATTACCTTCGGTGCTGCCACTCTATGTAGGTTTTTGAATACCACCACTCGCAATTTGAACTGACCTATGTGCTGGTGTGTGTGTGTTGCGCTGTTTTCTCGTGGTTAAGAATGCAAAATTGCAAAAATTTCAGCAAAGGTAGGTTTTTTTCACCCTTTCTTTCTTGCATTGCTTTGTATGTAACACCATTGATGCAGGCGTTGGCGCACAATTTAATTTCGGGTTATTGTACCCGCCAACCGAATACAGTGAAGGTCATGAGAATTGGTATCGGTAAATCATACAAATGCGTGAAGAGACTACAAGTACACTACTAACTACATATAATGCCACAAATTAAGAGCTGGTGCGTTTCTAGGGTATCATCTAATTAAATTTTTAATAAGAAATTATGTTTGGTATCGTTGGAATAGCTTAGGGTTAGATTAGATTAGTTTTTCGGAGGAATTTTCCACAACACACAGAGTCAGCCGTAGTCATTTTTACATGTGCGCGCTGCTTTATCTATTCATTGACCTATAGCTATAATCAATCACGATTTCTACATCACCTACATCTCTTCTAGTTTTGCATTTAAGCTCACTCTTTCCCCCAATCGTTCTGCCAAAATAACCTGCCAGAGGAGGTGAAGAGCAGTGGCTTCCCTGGGAGTGCAGGTGCGAATGACACTGCACTTTAATGAGGTGTTCATTTTCGGATAGCCTCTATTATCTGATCCAAGGATTTTTTACCTGGTGACTAAGTGATCTGCGAACAGTTAGGAATACATAACAGGATACCCCACACAGCTCTTCTAAAACAGAGGCATTCGTTGAGCGATTACTGATAGAGTCAAGTACTTGGGGCCCAGATAGGAAGATATCGTAGAAACCTAACATTGTCGATAGAGCGCAAAAGGCATCTGTTGGCGCTGTACTGCTGCAAGGTGGCGATTGGTGATATATTTGGTTTGTCTCCTAAGGTTATTCTTTAACTTTGTTGAGCTATAGTTAAGCCCATAATGTTTTACGGTGTTGTGGTCAGTGGCGCAATTCGGACAACTACCACTCTGGCTTAAAGTCATGCTTCAGTAGCATAGCGCCGGTCGATATTTCCGTTCATACTTAGGGACACTGTGCCCTTAACTGAATCAGAATTTAGGCTATATTTTATGCTTGGAAGCTTAGAATTTATCCTTAATTACAGGATTTACTAAATTTAGACTTCCACAGATCACACATGTTTGTTGTCCAGGTAGAAGTAGCTGAGAAGAGTAGAAGATTGGTTACTTAATTGCACGATTTTGGAAGATAGAAAAAACTTCTGATTTTACCAGATCTTAGTCATTCTAAAGGACATAGTGTTCCGGATGAGTTCGACCAGAAAACCACCCTCCAGTCGGTCTCACCGAGAAAATAGACAGCGGAAGTACTACGTTTGACTACGTGTGGATTACCCTTGGGCAGATGGGCCTCGTGTAAGCTCAACAGACGCTCGTACATATGGAAATGCAAGGAATTTCTATGTATATGGACAGGAGACGGTCGATGATCCTCTTTAGATCTCGAAGGCACACTCTCGATGATCAATATCGATTCAGCTTGGCTTTGCAAATTATAGTTCAAGGAGACCTCGTCTATATTAGAATTTGCCGTAGTATTTAAAACAAATACCTTTTAAACGGTAAGGTTTCATCGGTAAAGCTTCTTGCAATTTGTATCCCGTCTTTCGTTGGTTTCAATTTACGAAGATCAAACTCAATTTCAGGTAGCCTATTTGGTCTCTCGGAAAATGGCGCTGACGCTTTTCTTTAGAATATTTCCCAATTAAAGACAATTGTATATACTGGCACAGGCAAGTATGAATGGAGTCCATCCGCCGCAAGAAATATCGAATATTCTGTGCCTTACTTCTGCATAGTGACATTATTCCGACCTTCTGAAATTCTTCTATTTTATCAATAGGTATATCAAAATTCGTTAATGATTTCTTCCGATAGAACTTCGGCGCTCTCCAGCTATCAGGCGTCGAAGATCGTTTGCTCCGCATGTTATATTTCTTTTAGCATTCACAAATATGTTTATTAACAAGAAAAATGCATTCTCGACGCACCCACGACTGTAATTCTGCTGCTGAGTCCAATAAAATAACATAACTTCACTGATTTGCTTTACACTTCCTTACTTGCTCACTACAGAGACCTACTTTGCCTGCCTCGACGGAGGGTAAACAATTTGTGCTCGAAGTTCTTGAAGTCGTAATTTACATACTTATATGCATGCATATTTTCCTATGTGAACGCTAGGGTGGTCAGAATTTTTCTGCCAAAAGTTTCGTCCGTCCAATTGGCTTTTTTAAATAATTGTGATACAGAAACATTTCTCTTGCTCTCTAACTAGAACTAGTCTACATGAAATTGTTGAGAAAGGCGCTGTGTGCTCAAAGTCAAGTTTCGCACTCAGCTGATGACCATCACAGATAGCTCCACTGGAGCTTGGATGAAATACGTTCTGTAAACCTTGGCATGGCCGCAGCGCATTGATTCCAATTAGATATATCCCGGGCAGGATTTGTGTCCGGAACTAAGGACGTTGGTTACTTTACCTGTCGGAGGCTTCGTTCGAGCGACTTATGACTATCTCAGCTGTCCAGGAATAGCCTGTCGCACAGTGGTTCAAAACTGGATTTTACGGTTCAAAATAGCACAGAGCCTTCATTTTGCACCGATTACATTTTTTTTAATGGAAGCTAATAAAATTTGTAACAGATCAATTGAAACCGATTTCTGAATTTAACAGTTAAGAATAAAAAAAATTCATCAAAATTCCAATTTCTTTCAAATTTTTTAGAAACATTAAAAAAACGTTTTAGCGACAATTCGAGCAAATGTTATTTATATGGAAGAAAACACCTAGTACCGTCAGAAAAAAAAATATTAGCTAAAAATCAAGGCGAATAAAAAAATTTAATTATGTGAAATTTTCAATTATTTATTCTGAAATTTTGTTCGTATTGAAGGAACCCTAAAATTGTTTTTAACTGTTTTTTATTATATATTTAAAATTCCTCCAGCCAACTAAAATCCCAGCTGTCTAGGAATAGGCCGCTGCAAAGTGGTCCAAGACTGGAATTTACGGTTCAAAATAGCTCAGAGCCTTCATTTTTCAACCGATTTCAGAACTTTTTTTTAATGAAAGTTAATAAAATTTATAACAGCTCAATTGTGCCCAATTTCTGAATTTTTAGTATCAGTTTAAGTTCATACAAATTTTAACGGAAATTCCAATTTCTTTAATTGTGTACCCAAAATTTTTCTAAAAATTAAAAAAATGTAATTTGGTAAAATTTAGGGGAATGCTTAAATTATTTTTAACTAGTTTTTACTATGTAACATTTATTAACAGAAACAGGAGAATACATTTTTTTTCAAAATTCCTACTTTCTCTATTTCTTTTCATTCAGAACAAAATTAACCAAATCGGTTGAAAAATGAAGACATTGAACTAATGTGAACACTGTCCACCAATAGTATCTCTGTTTACGACAATTATTTCACGAGGTCCTAAGATTTCAAATAGTTTTTAGTCCCCAAAAGAATCGAAGATTGAAATTGATCACCCTAATAAGTGGTAAAAGTATGTACGTATTCACATCGCCTTACATTATTTTTCATAAGAAATATGTATGCATGTATTATTTTTTTTTTGTACTCAGATTTCAAGCCCGCCAAATGCAGCAACGTGTTGTATAATCGATTTCTGTTTGCCTTCGCTTTTGAGCTTCTCAATTGACCAAAGTAACTTTTTCGACGACAACGATAAGTTGTTATGGCTGCCTCGTTTGCTAAGTACTTAGTCTTTTTTAGTGATTTAATTGTATGCTTTTTAGTAGCTATTTATTTATGAATCTTTTTGTTTTATTTACGTATTTCCTTCGCTTCACTATTAACCGTACGAGGTTTGTTTATAAATTCGTAAGTTCATAAAGCCCACTTGCTGAGTTAATAAGAATGTTTTGAATTTCATTTATCATTTTAGCACAAAAATGCTTACATAAAATAATTTTTAATCGTTTTGGTTATGTGATATTTTATGATATTATGCTTATGCTTTATTGTTTTATTTTTTAAATTGAAATTTATTGAGCACTTAAACTCTGTTTATTTTATTTGTAAATAACAAAAAGTTAAATACAGCAAAACAAGAATATATTTTAACACACAGCGAACGTGCAAAGGAAAAAGGAAAAGAATAACTAGTCATAAAAGTCGCATAAATGTGGTCTGAAAATATTTTTCATAAAAAAGTGCGGTATCCACAAATACAAAATTACATATGTATATGAAGAACAGAAATCCACATACCCACCACATCTGTGACTGACAGGAAATTATAATTAGCTTGGCTACTGAAAAGTTATGACCATAGGTTAATGTTTTTGATTTTTGATGAAAAAGTGAAACGCAATAACTCACTAACCCATTTGCATTTTTCAGCTCTTGTGATATTTGTTTTCTTTTTGTTTTGTGTTGAAAGACTATGGCTGACCATTCTTGGGTCTAATTTTTTATGCAGAATTCATTCAGAGAACGAGGAACTACCGTTTTATAATCTTATATCAAATTCAAGTTATAAATTTGATCAGCAATTCCCAAGGGACTCATCCTTGGAATGCCCAAAAAACACACATGTATGTACGTAAAAATATGCACATAATTTGAAACGTGGCTTATCGATAAAACCCGCAAACAGTGAGGAATGAATTCAATTTAAATATAATCAAATCACATAATAAAACAAGTATATATATTGTACTTTATCATAAGTATGTACATACGTGAAGACATAGAACTCAATCGAAAAGAAAATTTTTAATCGGAGCTCGATACTATCCGAACGTTCGTCCATAGTTTAACAGCTAAAGCCCTTGCGACTCACATTGTGGAAAACGAACTTTTTTGAGACAAAATTAAATATCTCGAAAGCGAGAACAGCAAGCGAAATAATTTAAGAGCATTTTAATGCCTTTGATATCTCGAAATCGGGAAAAATATACTCGTTAGATAACAAAATTACCTTTAAATGTCAAGGTAATGATCTTTAAAAATAGGGGGTTTAAAATTTTTTCCAATTCAATTTATTTAACCGCCTTCAAAAATTCAATTCGTCGGAATAATTTTTTCCATGTACATATGTATATTACCGGATAACTTTTGATGTGAACCATTTGCGATGATTCTTTTTTATCGGAAAAGATTTGATGGTTCCATAATAATTTGGTTTACACAGGTTAAAAAAAAAGTTTCTGCATATTGAACCAAACCTCTGCGAATCCAGGGTCTTTTAACCTCTATCACGTCGGGTTCGGGGTTATTTGAAGGTCAAATAGCGAAAGATTCATTGAATAAACCTGAAAATTCATATATATGGGGTTTCCGACTCGCTGGACCCGAATCAATTAACCTCCATAATGTCAGGTTGGTGGTCATTTAAGGGTCAAATAGGGAAAATTTATTGAATAATATTTTTTTTTCACTCAATCCGAATATGGGTACTCCTAGTCTCTTCGTCATCTAGAGGTCATGCCAAGATTATCTCAACGTCAAATTTAGAAAAATTGTATTGAATTTTCAGGTTTATTTCCCCTACTTGACCTTCAAATGACCTCGAACCTGACGTGATGGATGCTAACAGACCTCGGATTGACATTCAGCGCGTCGATTAACATAGGGATATAGAGGTCAATATGCAGAAACGTTTTTTTTTTTGTAAACCTCTGTTAGTTTTAGTTCCAATTATTTGATGATAAAGAAACCAACGGTACAACTCCTAAATTTTTACATGGTTATTGAAGTCGGGTTTTTTTCCATTACCATGGTCCCAAGAACCGAAAAATGCATAATTTTTTCCAATTTCGTTACATTTCATTTCTTAGGCGAAAAAAAATAAAATAAACAAAAAATCAAAAATTTTACTTTCTTTGTTAAATTAGTAATCCAAAATATTTTCCCCATACGCATATGTACATTAGACTGCATCACCCCCCCATACAAAAAAAACTGTTTTTCCATTGGAATTATAAAATCTATTATATTTTAAGGCGTCCACCAAAATATTTCGGAAAAATATTAAGATTTAAGCGAGCTGGACCGATTTGAAAATACCTCAAAATAAATAATATAAAAAAAACTTTTTAATATACAACGCTTTTATA